TAATTTTTTTTATTTATTGTATGGATGAGTTTTTGCCAAGTTGCCCAGGCTGGTCTCAAATCCCCAAACGCAGGCAATCCTCTCGCTTCTGCCTCCCAACTTGAGAGATACACATTTAGAAATCATGTAGGCAATGACTGAAGCCATAAGTTGTAGTGACACTAGAGGTTGACACTGGAAGAAAAGAAGGCGACCGGGAGCGGTGGTTCAAGCCTGTACTCCCAGCTCAGGCTCAGGAGTTCAAGACCAGCCCAGGCAACTTGGCAAGCCCTCGTCTCTACAATAAATAAAAAATTAGCCAGGTGTGGTAGCACACACCTGTAGTTCCAGCTACTTAGAGCCCAGTAGGTCAACGCTGGGGTGGCTGTGAGCATGCCATTGCATCCAGCCTGGGCGACAGAGTGAGACTCTGACTCAAAAAAAGAAAAAGAAAAAGAAGGCTTAGAACCAAGCCTTAGTGAATTCCAACATCTCATGTCAGGGTGAATGGGAAGTATCTGGTTAAGGAGACTGAAATTAGACAACCAAAACTCATAGGAGCCGTAGGTGGAAATCCAGGAAAGTGTGAAGTCATGAAGTCATGGGAAGCGAGAGTTTCATAAAGAAGAGAGGTGGAGATGATGCTAGATATTCTTTGAAAAGGACCCCCTGTGGCAACCCCCTCAGGTCCCCTCCCATTGTGGGAGCTTTTCTGTCCTCTCAATAAATCCTGCTTTCTACAAAAAAAGAAAAAAAGAAAAGAAAAGGGCCCGCTGGAGTGGGAACCATGATGCCAACTCACCGATGCCCTTGGTAAGAGGGACTTTGTCAGTGGGAATGGAAGCCATATGAGATTGAGCAGCAGAAAAATGAACAGAAGGTGAGGCTGCGTAGACAGGAACAGACAAGTTAGGAAGACATTTTGGGCAGAGATGCAACATGAGTAAAGACACAGAGACATGAAAAATTAGGGTGTGTTTGAGGGATCTTAAGCAATTCAGAATGACTAGAGATCTGAGTGTGGAAGAGGAAGAACAGTTGAAGACAGTGCTAAAAGGACAGACACAGAATGGAAGTCTTGAATGCACAGGACAAAAGGAAGAAAAACTACTATTCTTGAGTGCCTTCTATGTCCTGAGAGTTGGTGCAAGTGTTATCTCACTTAAACCTTGCGTAAACCCCATGAGTAAGTTAAGCATTTTTTTTTTTTTTGTAGACAGGGTCTTGCTCTGTCACCCACACTGAAGTGCAATGGCATGATTGTGGTTCACGGCAGCCTCAGTCTGCTGGCCTTAAGTGATCCTCCTGCCTCTGCCTCCTGAGTAGCTGAAATTACAAGCACAAACCACTGTGCCTGGCCAAGGTAAGTGAGTCTCACTCTGTTGCCCAGCCTCGAGTGCAGTGGCACACACACGGCCATTGCAGCTTCGACCTGCTGGGCTCTGGTGATCCTTCTGCCTCAGCCTTTCAAGTAACTGGAACCACAGGCATATGTGCCACCATGCCTGGCTGATTTTTTTGGTTTATTGCAGAGATGAGTCTCGCCATATTGATCTGGCTGGTCTCGAACCCCCGCTCAAGAAATCCTCTCCCCTCTGCCTCACCAAGTGCTGGGATTACAGGCTTGAGCCACCCCGCCCAGCAAGGTAGGCATTCTTTTTTTTTTTTTTTTTTTTTTTTTGAGTTGGAGTCTCACTCTGTCACCCAGACTGGAGTGCAG